TGTGTGTGTGTGTGTGTGTGTGTGCACCAGGGGGAGGGGAGGGAGGACCCCTCCCCCACCAATCAATCAATCAATCAATCAATCAACCAATCAATCAATCAATCAATCAATCAATCAATCAATTAGTCAATCAATCAATGAAAAAAACAATCAATCAATCAATATTTATGTTTTTTTTATTTTTTATTTTTTTTTGTCACACACCCAAAACCACCCCCCCCAAATTCACTTTTTTTTTAGTAGTAGCTTCCGGAGGGGGACGCCATGCGCAGGCAATGCGCGCGCCTCGTTTTCGGGCTTGCGTCTCCGCCTGCGAGTGGCGAGGCCGCGAAGTTGCTCGGCCGCGCGGCCTAGACCGCGGGGTAGCGGCCGACCTCCTCGGTTGCGGACGAGGCCGCAGGATCCGTGGCCGTGGGGAACACATAGGCTATGGGGAACAGTCCTCCGATGACTACTCCAGATAAAAGATCGAACACGAAGCTATCGGAGGAGGCTAAGGCACGGATCGAATCGATTAAAGGAGAACAAGCAAAAGAGTTTGCAACATCGAGCACTCCATCGAAGATTGACCTATCATTGAAGCACATCATGGCATCCTGCGGACCAGAGGGAGAGAGAAATTTGAGCAAGAATGTCAGAATTTTTATAGTGCGCTAACTATCGACGAACTAAAGGAGGCATGTCGTCTTAAGAAGGTGATATATGGTCAATGTGCCAACTAAGCGCTTAGTCACTCATCGGTCAGTTGTGGCTTACTATGATCCTTCGAACATTTCATTACCTTTGACGTCGAGTGTTACTCCAAGGACGAGCAAGGGGGTGGCTATCAAGGAGGAGGCTAGGCTCGCCAGAGTTAAACCAATCTTTCATCGACGATGACTCGAAGTGAGGAATTTGTTGTCGCGACGACTTTCTTGGTAGAGAAAATGAGCTAGGTAATCTAAGATAGCTTTATCATGGTAGGTGTAAGACTGACGAAAAGGAATTTAGAGCAGTTACTATTGGATTGATACTGAGTGGAAGGGTGAGATGGGGTGAAAAGTTTGTAAACTACTGGAAAGATGAATTGGATAGGGGGACGTATGATTTGACGAAACCAAAGAGTTGTGTATATGTCTTACTATCGTCATGGTATAAGCAAGTTTACATTGGTTTGACTGAGAGGAGTCTATGGGCATGATGGAGGGAACACTTTTGTAAAGGGCAAGGGTATAATAAACGTAGTAGGACTGTATATAACTGGTTCGGTAAGGTGGGTGCGCATAAGTATGTTGCCTTGTCTTTGTTCACTAGCACAAACAGGAGGGAACTAGAGGCCGTAGAATCAACACTCATCAAACATTGGTCACCATCGTTGAACGTGCGATCGGTGAAATCGAGGAAGGCAACAAAAAAGTTAAAGCATCGGCCTGGGAAGAAAGAAAGGAATTGTGATCGATCGAAGGTTTACAACTTCAAGGCAGATTGTTGGAGACTACTCGAGCTACTCGTAGAAGGAACAGAGAGTAGTACCCTACGGATCGCTAACTTGTTCAGAAGTTTGATACGACGCAAGGGAGACTTTACGATACTGAGCAACGGAGGTGAGACATGGGCAGATGGATGGAAAGTGGTGAGATGGTTTTTTGACGAGACTCGTGTAAAGTACTAACGTGGAACGAGACCGTTGAGGCGATGCAAAAAGTTGTTTGAGACCAAGGGGTTGATTAGACTTTAGAAGTGATCTGTAGAATCAAAACAGTTAGTTATGTCGCCTTCGATGGCCCACGTTTGGTGTTTTTTTATTCCTACACGGAGGCTCGCACGAGTCAAAGTTGCGGGGGAGCCTCTACCAGGCTGAAAAGCATGACTGCAATCAATAAATTTCTCTTCGTAAATCATCTCTAGTATAACCTGCATAGCTTTTTTGAATATTTTGAAGATAAAGCGGCCTCTTACAATGTCGATCGCTTTATCTGGCGCGAAGCGCCCTTGTTGACAAAGAGTTGCTAAGTGAGTAAACCATTCTTTTGTAAGTTCATCAAGAGCGCTTCACGCCTTTTCAGGAGTTGGTCACTGAAGTTTCTCTTGCTCTAGTGCCACTGAAGGAGGATATGGTAAAGATGTTCATGAATCGTCGTAAATAGAAGGGTCTCTATACGCAGGAGTTGACAGGACTGGTCAGGTATTATAGTGCAGTGAAGACTTTTACTACGAAGCGTAGTAGATATCAGGCACGATATATGATATCGAGAGTTGTTCGAAATAAGTTCAGTATTAACGTGAGAACGCGGATTATTCTGAAAACCAAGTACAAAAAATAAGTGAAGTGATGAGGGTCATAAGGAGGAAAGTTGGAAATTTGAGAACTGCAAGGAAGTAGCCCTGAAGGAGATGGTGAAGCATCGGGCACGGGTTGTTTGGAAGAAGAGTCCTAATGTGGGGGATATTCTTCACAACCATCGGCAATATGCGTCGATTCGTGCTTCCAGTTGTGTGTATGCTGGTATGCCCTACCCCTTGAAGGATGAGCACGTGCATTTTCGGATTAGCGGGCTTGAGGATGCCCCGAGGATCGTAAAAAAAGCGAAGAATATTCCTAGATTTGAAGATTGTAAGAGAGAGGAAGTATTGAGGAAAAATCTGACCGACGCCTTTCGTTCTTGGAGAGAAGGTATGAAGCTTCCGAGGGATGAACTTGCTCGTCCTAAGGAGGGTGTTAAGTCTTGTTTTGTAAAGCGTCAGAACCATGATATTGAGGACTATGAATCCCCCCCGGAGGCGGCCATGGCTGCGGTCCGGGGCCATAAAAAAAAAAAATCAAAAAATTCTGAAAAAAACAAAATGTTATGAAGATGGCGGATGGCCCAGTGATTAGGGCACCCGTTGGAAATGCACATTGTGGTCTAAGGTTGCGGGTTCAAATCCGCAACCTCGAGCATATGCCGCCGGCACGGCGTTAGGTTGACGCACTACCACTCACATACTGAGCGCGCGCGCTCTTAAGGGCACGGATGTACACTGGGCTATATATACAGCTCTAGACTTGGGGAGCCACCTGCAAGGGTGCCCACTACTACTGATAACCCAACAGTACTTCCTGGGTCCCCGTAACGGTTGAGCGCGTGCCTCCCCTTGGGGTTGTCGAGGCCATAGGGGGGGAGTGGCTCCGGGAGGGGCAGGCTCCGTTGAGAGCGTGCAGGAGGTGTGAGGGGGTCACCCCTCCCCTAGCAGGAGTTGGTGCGTCCCTGCGGCACCACTGTGACTGTGGTGCATACTGCCTCCCGACGGTGGAGTTATAGGGAGGTGAAGCCCTGAGTGGGGGAGGGGGGACCCCTGTCAATAGCGGCCTGGTAGCATCGGTCTGGGTCGATACTCCCGGGTGGGTTGCAAGGATCGTGCGCTTCTCCCTTGAGAGATCACAGGGTAAGTGGGTGGGCCCGCTGCACCGCCAGTAGGGCTGACCCCGGCCCAGGAAGCCCTCTGTCGGACATCCTCCCTGAGTCATAATCCCCGACACCTCCACAACCCTTTTTATGGAAAAAAAAAAAAAAAAAAAAAACTGAACAACTTTTGTCTTGGGGTCATATCCAAAAACGTTACTGAATTTAAAATAAAAGAACACATAAGTTTCATAATTTTTTCTTGAAAAAACAAATAAAAACAGCTTTTGCCTCAAGAAAATTAGTTTTTGAATTTTTAAAATTTGAAGACCAAGTCAGAAAATAAATAAAAAGTTGCGCAATTTAGATCTCGAAAAGATATACAACCCCATATTTTTTGGTTTTTTTTTTAAGAATTGTTTAAAGTCTAAAAAAATCCCTGAAAGTCACGGTCGCACCCAACCGCGGTTGGAGCCGCAGCAGTCGTGATCATGACCGCCCTCCGAGCTCGACCCCGCGGAAGCGTCCGCGGGTGTTTCGTAGATTGAGGATGGAATGGAGGAGGTGTTGTCACTAAGAGAGAAGTTGGAAGGCCTGGTCCGTGTGTCGGTGGATCAGAACACCAAGAGTGTATGAGAAGGGCATAGAAAACACCTTCTTACTAAGTGATGTATATCGTTTGTGTTCTGCTGATGAAGGACAAATGCTCCGGTCGACAAAACTGGAATACGAAAGGAGAGGATCGACAACCCATGGGAAGTGGGACAATAAGGACAAATTAGGGAGTGCATATGCACTACCCAAATATAAAGATGCCGAAAAATACCGCCCGATTTGCCCCACCTTCAATGAGCCGACGATCAATGCTTGTAAGATGGTGACAAAAGGTATCAACGAACTATTGTTCACTTTGCCTGAGTTCAGGCACCGAATCTGAGATCGTTGGCCAGTATGAAAGACAGAGTGAAACAACTAAAGTTACTGAACAATAGACAGGGGAAGAGTAGGAGAAACGTTGGGGTACTGAGAGCACCCTTTGACATTAAAGATATATTTAGTTGTCTCCCGCATATGACGATCAAATCTGTAATTGAATGGGTGGTTTGGAGGTTTTCCGAAAAGGGATTTGATGGGATTTTTATTCCAAGACGAGGGCGAGGGGCAAGAATGAGTAAGAGTGGATAAGTTGATGCCTGTGACTTTGTTTCTTTTAAGTATATTTTGTCTTTTGTAGAATTTGATTTGGAATTTTGTTTTATCAAGGTGTGTGGGATCCTACTGCAACAGGTTGTTGGCATACCAATGGGAAAGAGCTTTGAGCCCCTCATTGACATGCCTCATGTGTACAAAAAGTGAATGGGATTTTCGGATCTCGTTGG